TGCGACCAAGGTGGCCATCAAACAGGTCACCAAAACTATTTAACAACTCCAACAGTTCTTCCCGTTCCTCAGAATCCAAGTTAGCTTCTCCAGCCTTATCACGGAGCTGCGGGGTGTTCTGCAGGGTCATAGTTCCACACTCAAGATCAGCTTCCACAAAGCCATTTTCACAGAGTTCATCAAGACATGGGGGATTATCATCCATAATTACAGTTCTTGTTGGGACATGTATTGTCAGTGAAGTGCGAGTCATGAAGTCCATCCCAAGAACAAAGGGGGATGACAGGTCCTGCACTATCAGAAACCGCTGATAGACTCGCTTGCCCATAAATCCAATGGTCAGCCAGGTTATTCCTAATGGACTGCAGTTGGTGCCATTGGCCAGTCTTATTGGAGGAGAATCCCACGAATTCTCTAATGACTGGTTTCGGTGTCTCTCAGATAATAAGTCTGCATTTACTGCTGAAAGAGATGCCCCTGTATCTAGTGTGGCATCCAGAGCCGCCCCATTAAAGTTCACTTTAACTCTGAGAGGGGTGTTCCACGATGCTTGCGAAGTTCCATCTTCAACGTGATTGAGCACTGGTGGCACACTTTGATTTGACAAAGACGATGAGGGCTGAGTTATTGGTTGGGGGGAGGGTTGCCCCAGTGAAACACTCTCCCCCCCCTGAAGTTTCCCGGCCTCCTGCCCGTTGCTCTCGTCTCCCTGACCCCGCCAGTTTCATCTGGATCTGCAGGCTGAGCTACTGGATGTTGGTCAGGAGACAGCGTTTGGGGAAGCTCCGGAGCCATCCTGGGAGAGTGTCGAGCTCCCTGAAAATCAGTGGAACAGTTAGGGCACGTACGAGAGGTAACACCAGGCATGGCACATTTGAAACAGCGGGGTCCTCCCTCAGCTCTGTTTTTCGGCTGAGCTCGGGAGGGCCGTGAAAGGTTAGTGCCAAGAACAGAATGCAGCTCGTGGGCACGCAGCACTAGATCAATTACTGACTTTACAGGCGTTCCGTACAGCGCTACTCTGTACTTCTCTACTGCGTGGTTACAGATGAGCTCAATTTGCTCCAGTTCAGATGGTGGGTTCCTCAGTCTCCTAAATTCACTGAACATGTGGGCAACAAACGTTGGCAGAGGTTCTTCGGGGTGCTGGAAACAGTCCAGGATGCCTCTCAAAATCTGCTCCTGGTTGTCAGCAGGCAAGAAGACGGTTCTGAAAAGTTCACAAAACTTAGCCCATGTAGATACGTGAGGAATGAGCACATTAGACCACTTTCTTGGTTCCTTAGCTAGGAAGTGTGGCAGCTCTCTGAGGATTTGGGCGTCTGTTAGGTCTAAGGAGGTTTTATAAGCAGCAACAGACTGTAGCCATTCTTCTGGGTGAAGGCTGCCATCATTAGCGAACACCTTGGGCTCCAATTTAGCTTGGTGCAATGCCGCAGCAAGGACTCTGGTTGTATTAATTAGCTCCAGTGAATCTGAGTGGGATTGGGACAAGGCCCTGGCGGGCTGCGTGGGGCCAGGTGTTGAGATAGATTGTTGCATTTCCCTGGTTGGCAGGCCTGGCACATATGGGGTAGAGGAGGCCTGAGGAAAAGGGTGAGTAATCTGGGCAGCTGGCACTTTTGGGACTGGTCGTTTTTGTTGAGTCCACTGCTCCAGAATATTCCTCTGGAGGTCCAAAGAGTCATGAAGACACTGCTGAAGCATATCAACCTCTGCTTGCAGACTTTGCACTTTATGCCCAAGGTCAGCAGTACTATGTCTGGCAGTAAGTCGGTTGGGGTGTAACATAAAGTCTATATCATCACACATGTCATTCAAGTCAGGATGAGTAGCCATAATACACACTTATCAAAGACCCAAATCTATACAAGGTAGCAGTTAAGCAGAAATCAACTTCAGTTCTGGTCACACAAAAATATACGAAACATGTGAATTCTGAAGTTTAGCTACACATGTCTTATCTGACTTTGAAACGTGGAGGTGGAAGGAGCAAACACCCTGGATCAAAAGCATTTAGGTGTAAAATAGATCCAAACTTACGAGTAACTGAGTATGAGCAGCACCTTTTCAAGTCAGATGCACTTAAAACAGCATTTCAATAAGGACAGTTAAGCCAGTGAGAATCAATAGCAAATCAGTTTGAAATATAGACAGCGTTCTTTTTTTTTCTTTTTTTTTTTTTTTTTTAAAATACACTCACAACATCAGTTCGGCGATTTTCCAGAGGACACCAGACTTGTCCAGTCCTGACGCGGTATAGAGGTTTGTCCCGTGGAAAAGTTCCCACCTGCAGAGACCGTACGAACGAAGCAAAGTCTGCAGCGTGAGCTCAGCTGGCGAGGAAGGAAAAAAAAAATCCGGTGCGCTTTACTCCGCTTACATGTTCTTCAGAAACTATGAAGAAGCGGCATCCATCTCGCGTCCAAGTAGCGTGAATCCACGTTAATCCAAAAATGTCGCAGTAAAGGCGTTCGGCAGATGACGATAATACATCCCGAAAACAGCGCTGCGGCGGCTCCACTCGTTGCCGTAGAAACACACTTCCGTGATCCGGCGAATCGGACGTCCGCGTCGAGGCCAGCCTGGTCTGTCTCCGCGAAGTATGGCAGGCTACTACTAGCTCTACTTCTCCTCTATGTACCTTTCAGTGTATCAATCATCCGCTGCTCGAAGATACTGCATACTGAGGTCCAAGAGAAGATGTTCGGGCGCCATTTTGTAACGTTGGGTTGTGTTGTGTGGTTGAGAAGAGGCGGCAAAACACCTAGCAGGCTAGGCGGAAGGATACACACCCACACTGGTATCAGTAATCCACGGTGGTTCTTTAATGAGCTGCGGCTCAACAACAAAATGCCCAGCGTTCATACAACCCAAGCGCTGCAAACAAAACAAAAAAAGGGTCTCGAAAAGAAAACATAAGTCCGTCCCTCGTTAAGCACGAGCGTGAAGGCACGTGTCCTCATAATCACAGAGAGAGAGCGAGAGAGCAGTGGCACACACTGATGACACCATCAACCCTCGACTTGGGTGTCTTAAAGGGACACCACACCATAACGGCTGTTACAAGGGCTCCAGGGGTTCCAAAGGAAGGGTGCAGGGCAGTGATTAACACGCTCACACTCCTCTCACATGAGCCAAGGTGTGAAAACGGGTATGAGTCACAATCAGACAAGGTGAACCCATTGTGAAACCTAGCTGCACCCTATCATGTGATTTATTGAGGTCAAATGGCCCAGGATGTGAGTGGGCGTTAAGGCTTCTGGGAAGGGATCTCAAAACTCGATTATAGATGGCAGACAGTTGGTGTCATAAACCACCACCTCTGTTCAAAGATGGTTGTTCACACTGCCAAACAGTTACACAAACTCCATGGCATTATAGCATACACTGACACAAACCTCTAAGAACATCTTTTCAAACCGTTCCAAGATGCCTTAGTCTTAAACAATTACTCGCTGTCTCTGCTGCTCAGTGTTTCTTTCACCACCATTCTCAAAAGGTTCAGACGTGCATATTTCAGTGCATCACTATCAAACACTAGATTTCTGTTCCTGGTAAAGAAGCATTGTTAGTGTTGTATTGGAAGTGGCATTATCTTACTGTGTTTTTCATATTGGCCAACATTTTGTTTTGGTCTTCATTTTCTGGCATGACACCTGCATTCAGGACATCTCCATGCTGAATTTTTGCACTTTCCTGAGAATTTCTAAGCCGCAGCTAATGCTTTGCATGGACTCTTGTGGCTTTCTTCCTGGAAACAGGATTTCAGTTCTGGATTTTTTACCAACATGTGGGATGAATTATTGGAGTGTGACTCATTTTATCTGAATGTGCTGTCTTGTGTTGTTTTCCTCTTGCTATGTTTTATATTAGGTATGTTGGGTGGTACTTTTTGATCCAGCTAAGGCTCTTGGTCCTTGATTTCAGCAACTCGTCTTATTTCAGCTCAGTTGTTTTTCTTTTAACAGTTATTGTCCTTTTCTGTTTGCTTCCAAATCATTTTCTGTGCTTTAAGATGTGCACAAACACAGACACAGAAGACTTTCTTCCATAATCAGAGTTTTGAGACTTCCTAACCTTTGACATGAGATATGTTTTCATTTATCTCATATATCATTCTCGGTCTGATGTATCTTTTATTGACTGTTTTTTGCAAAACCAAGTTACACTTTATTAACTATCAGCAGTGAATTTCACCAGTGTGGTCTTCCTCCTGTTTAAAAATTTTCAACTGGACTGGGGGATAATCAGAAATGCTGACCTATTACGGGGTGGGTGGAGTTTATTCAGCCCACACAAATCACCATTTTTACAAGAATATGACTGCTGCTTTGAAAGAACTCAGTGCTGTTTCCTCTGTCTACATTTTTCCATCACTCAGTTCTGCATTACACATGGCTCTGATTGGTCAATCTGCTCATACTTGAGCAGTCCAAGTGACTTTTACTAAAAGCCTCCTTCACTTAACCACACACACACACACATATATTTTATTTATTCTGCATCTATGTGCCTTGTCTAACATTCACATTTACACTAACACCCAATGACTGCATGAGGAAAAACTTTCTTTGGTGACTGTTCTTTACCCACTGTCACCCTTGTGTTAATGAATTCAGCAATAGTAACTGAACAGATGTGTATTCACTAGTAAAAGTTGGAGATTTACACCTTAAACCAGCTGCACTGAGAGACAGTTTCCTCCTGGATAAGATTGGTTTGGTGGTTTACTCGTGGACTCTGGCTGCTGGATTCTTAATAATTTCAGCATTAGTAATAACTGAGTTTATGTTTTTACTCTTGTGACAGACTCATACAGAACAGAGAAAAGTAAACATAAACGATGGGAATTCTGATCATGTGATGAGTAAGATGAGATTCTCTTGGCAGATACACACAACTCGCCTCCCTGTGCTTTTGTTTTTTTCTTTTAGCAAATTCTTCTATTATAACGAAACTAGTGTAACCTAAATTTATAAACCGGACAGCATGTGATGAACATAGCAGAGCACAGACAGAAACACGTTTATCCAGACATGGATCAGCTGTTTGTGCTGCTGCTGCTGTGGGGCTCAGGTAGGACTGCTTTGATTTGTTTTTATTGCACTAATGAAAACAAGTTTGAAAGTCAATATTTGGTGTCAGCATCTTCATACTTCAGCTCAATCTGAGCTCTCTGAGCAGTTCTCTGTCATCTCTTCTTGAAGGACATTCAAAGCACTTCTCTTGGTGTTTCTGCCTTTTGTTTTGCTCTCTGTCAGGAATATTCAGGCTCTGGGGAGTCCATGACTGACAGTGTTCCACTGTTTGTCTGTTGTTATGGTTCAAAATATTGGGGATGGAGACAGGAGAAACACCACAATAACAACACTGGTCCGGCCGGGTCAAGTCAAATGATGATTTTAATGGTCACACCCGTGGGAGATGGAAACTGTATGCAGACAGCCTCAGATCTCATCACAAAAAACACATCTCCATAGTTTTGTAAAAATCAGGGTATTAGAATGCCCCTTCATGCGTAATGACAGATCAAAATAGGTTCCAGACATTAGTCACAGTTAATCGTGCATCTTGTACATCTTTAATGGCTACAAACAGACATAGAACTTCTCCTTTCTATAACACCTTCCAAACAAGGTAATAAACTTCAAGCCCTCAGGGTCTCTGAGGCTAATTATTGACTCTGGTCATCTGTTACCAAGTAGAGCAAAATATAGTGAGACTCCAAATGAGTTAAGGCCTCAGGCCGGACACATTCCTAGATTATATGTATTATATGTACTGTAAGCATGTTGTTTAATTAACTACCACTTTAAACTTAGCAAAAAACATAATTGAATAAAAGACCACAAAGAATAATATGATATCAGTGGTATGTAAGCGCGTGCGGCCCTCTATGCTCGAAGCCTTTCCCCTCCATAGATCAGTCAGACATTCACGCTGACTGTAGCTTTTAACCCTTCATTAACTTGAGCACAACTCTATAATAAGCAAGAAACTGCAATATGTATAAGTTGATCATGGTCACATCTGCAATGAAAGATCATATTATTCTGGTACCTGTAAGTAGAAAATCAAACTAGAGTTATAACAATCACTGTAATACAAAGGCTAATGTAAGATCAAAAACTTCAGTATATATTTAATGCAAAGCTGGTTATATTATTCTAATGAACTAATCGTGCCATATTAAAATAATGAAACTAGAAGAGGAAAAAACATCCCCTTTTTATTCTACACTGTCTAGGTATGCTTTTACTGCAGTGTTTCTGATCATTGTCATGCTGAAAAACATGTGCTTTTGTCAATCAGATGCTTTACAGATGATATTACATTTTTTATAATTTATCATTCTCTTAATTTTGACTGCATCCCCAATATTGTGCTGCTCTCGTTTGAATCATAAATATCTATGCTCCATTTTTTAAAATGTAAATGAGGAGTTTTCTTCACATACTATGTTTAATAATTCAGTTAAGTTTGATTCAATTTTATTTGTATAGCACCAAACTACAAGTAATAATAACCAGTAGTAAATAATAATGGTGTCATTTCCAGTTGGAAACTGTTCATGCTCTTCAGGGATTTGATTCAAGATCAACATGTGTTTAAAAAAAGTTTACAAGACTGCATCTGTGAAAAACAAAAGCAATACAGCACCTTGAGGTGACTTTTATTGGTATTTAGCTATATAAATAAAACTGAATTGAACTAAATTTTATTTGATCACGTTGTTCATGCTTTTAACTCAGTCTTTGACTTCTGTACTCTGCACTCTGGTTATTTAGATATTATATAAGATACTGACACACTCTCAGAAATAGAGGTACGAGAGAAGAACATTTTTGTACCTATAGGTACATTTAAAAAAAATGTTCCCTTAAAAGTACAATACTGGTCTTTAAAAGTCCAGAAATGCCCCTTTAAAGGTACAATTTGAAATAAAGTACAAATCTGTACCATTTTGACCTGTACTGCAGTGACAGTGACAGAATGTGTTAATGGGTCAGCATGGGAAAATCTGGATGGGCCTGGTTAATTGTAAAATTCATATGAGATGTGAGTGTGCTCATAAAAGCTACATGTTATAATCAAATCTGTTGGTCCTCTCCTCTGTACATAAATTATCCTATGATGCAAAGAATATCTGTAACCTACCTTTGTGTAAGTTATGTTAAATTATATTTTTAAAAAAACACACAATGACATGCAGGCACAACCAAATGATGTTAAAAAAAACTGGTCCATTTCCATTTTATTAAGTTCCAGTTATAATTTTTTAATGTTTTAAATCTTTCAAAAACGTGAAATCATTTTACTGTTATGTTTGGCCATTTACTTTTTCGCTTTTACTACATCCTAGAATTGTTCATTAATTGGGAGGTTTTTATGGAATTTGCAACATCAAGTTAAACCGAGGTTCTTTGGAAGTTAAAATGTCAAGCAGATTTTTATGTTACGGTGACTACATTTTGTAAGTTACAAATATAGTTCGCCAAGACAGCATAACGGTTTCCAAACGCATTAATACCACAATGTCCATGTATCAAGTTCGCAACGCGCATTAATCCCAAAGGCTGAAAAGCCAGCAGCGATGAGTGCTCCGCCTCCGCGCTGACTAGCGTTGACGCAGAAAATGACTCTCAGGGGGTTATCCACGGAGGAGCTCCTTAAAAAGTTGATGGAAGAAGGCATTGATGTCAGACGACGAGGCGCAAAGGTTTAGAGGTAAGTCGGGTGTGATTTTGTGTAGAGTTAGCAAAAGTCCGAAGAGCTAGCTTTAACATGGGTGAATGCTAGCAGTTAGCTAAGTTTTAAACAAAGAAAGGTACAAATGTGGACTATTTAGACTGTTGGTGGAATGTTCAACGTCTGTCTGCCCGCCGTATTCCAGTGTTTTATCAATAAATAGTCACTAACCGTGTACAACAATGTAAAAAAATCAATAATTTCTCAAAACATGCTAGTATGTAAATATAGCTATTAACAAAATCGTTCTCTAAGCAAAATTCATCCCATCTAACGTGTTTCCCGCTCAAAGGGATTTTAAACAATGGAAGGTACACATTTGTACCATTCCACCTACTTAGTGGGATTTGGGATTTTCGAATATGAGAACTGTAAGCTCTGCGCAGGGACACTGTCTGCAACCCAAGAATTGTTAAGATGATTGGGGAAACAGCTAATGATTTTTTTTGTCTCTAAATCTGATTATTATTATTTTCTGTACTAACTGATTAATCAAGCTGTTTATTAGCTTTAGAATTTTTGTTCAAGGGTTAAAGCACTTTACGTTTATCTCCAGTCTGTGTCTTTAAACATGTCAAAAGTTTAAATCCTCAATGTAAAATGTCATTCTTTTGTCTATTCTGCTCTTTTCATTTCCAGTTGTGTGATGAGGTTGATTTAATGCATCCCTGCCAAGACAACATCTGTCGCCGCTTTAGCAAAAACTTCACTGCTGTTCTTCAAATGACCAAGGATTTGCCACTGAAGAAGGTCTACATGGAGGCAAGAGAGAATGCACTGGCTGAAGACATTACAGGTGCTATTTTGACCTCATACAAATAGTAAATTTTGTGACAATTCATTTGCTCTCTCTTCCAAAGATAATTGATGTACCATAGTGTCATGTGAAGAGCATGTTAATGGGAATTTGCATGCTATCAAAATCTAATGAAGTGCATTTGCATCTGTATGACCTAGGAATTGACTTCAAGGGGGCACTTCTCTTGCCATCCATCTTCAAGGAGAAGATAGAAGATTTCATCATCCTTGGAGAGGTAAATGCATGATGCAATGCATAGCCTTTGGCCACAAGTTTCATTCTTGGTGTTTTGTTGGCATGGAGCTGAATTCAGCTGCGGTTCAGCATCACAGCTAAGCTAATGTAGGGGAAACACTGCTGTTAATCCACAGTGCTGCTGTGCTCTTGGGTTTTGTCTGGTGTTTATATAGATAGATAGACCTTTATTGTCCCCTTAGGGAAATTCTTCTTCACAGGTACTGTCACTGTCAGGGGTGATTGCTTTTGCCCTTGAATATTATGTCAAACTTTAGCAGCTTATCAAACACTACCACAACAGTCATTGGTCAAGAAGCTTTTTGTTTGGAGTATGGGCCATGTTTACAGGTTATCAGAATAGACAGTTTTGTTTTCTAGCAAATAAAGAAGGTAATTTGAGGAATCTGTTGAAAATCCACTTGGCACATATTGCTTAAACATACTGTATACTAATGTTTTTCTTCCTCTTCTGCAGAATACTCCCACGAGTCCATACCCAACCATTCGAATGAAGGATAAGAGTTGGACAACTGCCCTCTTAAGACAGTGTCGCCGTGTTGTGACAGTTGAAGGAGTGGATGTTTGCTCGTGCCGCTCGCTGGATGAGGCCTACATCTCAGCATTCTCCACCTTCTTCGTGTTCAACATGACCTACCCTGCATACTTCAAGAAAACACTTGTCTTTCTTCAGAACTGCATTGTCAACATAGGAGACCAGGGAGACAAACCCCTGCCAGTAAGTGTCGCCAGGGTACTTAACCAACTCTATTAAATACGCCCCCACCCAAGTGTCACTACCTTATTGACTACCCAATGCTGATTTTGATGTATGGTCCTCTTCGCCCTTTGTGGTGTATGGGATATGAAAGCAAGCATCAATATTTCAAAAATCTAGCGAGTAAATGCAAAAACTTTGTAAACATCACTGCAACTCTTAGCAATCGTCATCAAATGAAACAGTGCTGGGAGTTTTCTTCAGATAAGTTGCTTGTTGACTTTGAACATTCACTCAGCACAAGTGTCAGTGTGCCATTTTCATCTCTGCCAGGTGACTTACAGAATGCTCTGGAAATGAACAAAAGTTTTACAGATGTGCATTTTCAGGATAAAGTGCTTCAGCGTGTGTCTGCTATATCTGTCAGCAGTGTCAAATATGAACTTGAGGATGTTTTTGTAGTTGGCCATGTACACACTGAAGCCATACCTCAATTCTTTAAAATCAAGTATATTTTGAATGTTGATACTTGTTGGGTATTGTGTGGGAAACTGTTACTTCCTTGCACTTGTGAATGTCATTTCCATGCTTACCAAGTGGCAGTTGACAATGACTGGATCCTGTTCAATCCAGGAAATGAATTAGACTTTCAAGCTCTAGACACCTATTAAGTTGATGATAGGCGGTTTGTGTCCTTGAGGTATTCTGTGTGACGTGATTGCAAGAACATTTTTATGTATGTATGTATGTGTGCGTGCGTGCGTATGTATGTGCGTGCTTGTTGAAGTAGAGCAAAACATTTGTGTGGACAGTTTTTAAATACATGCCATCTCTGTGATCCGTCAAAACATTGTGTTCCAGGTGTTTAATGTCTTTATGTGATTGTTTACTTTTTTTCTTCTTCTTTTTTTTTTTTTTTTTTTTTTTAAAATCAATGTATTTTTCTTGACATGTCCTATGGCAGGGGTGTCAAACTCAAATACACAGTGGGCCAAAATTCAAATCTAGAACAAGGTCGCGGGCTAACATTAATATTTATTGAAAAATATCTTCCTCCAGATATAAGAATGAATCTCTTCTTATGGACTCAAACAAGTTTTGGTGAAAAACTGAATGTGGAACAAGCAAAGCTTAATACTAAACAATGTATATATTAGCTGTATAATACCAGTAGGCCAGCTCTAATAGTAATCTGGTATGGCTTCGCGGGCCAAATGTAATTAGGCTGCGGGCCAAATTTGGCCCGCGGGCCAGAGTTTGACACCTATGTCCTATGGCAATATACGAATGTAATCAAGGATGTATTCCTGTGGTTGTTTAAGTGCTTTGATGTGATTCTATTATCGAAAATAAATGGTTAAATAACCAAATATTTTGGACTATTGGGGGTACATTTTTGTCTCTTTAGGTACGAAATAGGTTGTCGCTGGGGGGGTACCCTCATAGGTACCCTATTGTACCCTTTTCAAGGGAACATTTCTGTACTATAGTTTCAAGGTACATTTATGTCTTAGGAAAGTACATGATTGTACTTCAGATGGTACAACTTCATAAGGTACAAAAATGTACCAAGCCTAAAGGGTACAGAAATGTCCTTCAAAAAGGAACACCCCCAGTGACAAGCATTTGTACCCTTTTTGGTACACTTTGGTACCCCTATTTCTGAGAGTGCAGAAGATACTAATCAGACAAAACCTGAGTTTTGGGTCTGAGCTTGCAGGCCCTGCTGGTTAAGAGACTTATCACCTGTGAACAAAGCAAGACAAACAGCGATCCGTTTTAACTTGCAAGGGAAGCCTGGTCGGATCAGGCTGCAGCTCTTCACCCGACCTCAAATGACCGACCCTTCCCTGCAGCCTTTTATTCTGTGAATACACAAGCACCACCCATTGTCAACCCGTGTGCGTGCGTGTGCATGTGCGTGCGTGTTTGCAGGTTAAAACCCAAATAAGTGACTTCCTGTTGATCACAAAGGGTCATCTCCCCTCACCCTGTATATGGCTTAACCCCTTTAATGGTACACCATACACAAGCATAGGTGAGGCCATAAAGGGCAGCAAGTTTACTAAATAAGAAAACAGAACGTTTACATAGGATGTGCCTGCAGTTAAACACTGTAGCTTCCCCCACCATTCTACATGTAGGGGAGGACAATAGAAACAGAAGAATGTCTTTAATCATACAGTTTGAAACAAGGCTACAAATTTAAGTGCAAGAATGACAACTATTATCAAAATCACCCTAACACTAAGAGTTATGTCCACAGCTGAGCTCCACAGAATCCTGCTTTATGCTGATGGTTCTCTGATTTTCTCCTCAGGAATTCAGGCTTATGGAAAACAAGATTCAACAGGTACACAGAAAAATTAAAGTGAAATGAACAATCACTGAGGGAAAATCGTGACTCGCATTTGTCTCTCATCGTTTCAGAAGTAAAATTGCTTCTTTACTGATGACGCTCTGCTTTCTGTTCAGAGTCTGATGATGTCAGGTTGGTGGGAGGAGCCAATCACTGCGGAGGTACACTGCAGGTGAAACATCTGGGAGAGTGGAAACCATTGCAATTCATTGACTGTACCCTGAAGGAAGCAGCTGTATTCTGTAAACATCTGGACTGTGGCTCCGCTGTTTCTATAGAACAGTCCCCACAAAGCTCAGTGTGGGGGGTCAATTCTACCTGTGTTCAGTCAGGATCTGCTCTGAGGAACTGTGTAACAACAGAAGGCTTCTCCTCTGCCGTGGAGCTCACCTGCTCAGGTCAGCCCATCAGTGACACTGATGCACCAGACACAAAGACCAGGTAGAATAGTAGCACATCATCTGCAGCAGCAGATAAGCCTGAAAAGACTTCTTCTATCAGTCCATCTGTGGCTAATCAGTATCCTGACAGCCACACAGCCACCTGTAGTCAAGGCACTTCTTAAAGTAACCCTTTTGAATCTTTGGAGTATTCTCTAAAATAGTATCATTTTATTTTTCAGAAAAAGTAGAAAATTTAGCAAATATTTGCTGATATTGACGCACCACAAAAACAAATCACTGACAGCTGAAACATGTCTCTGCTGTCTCTGATCTCTCTGTTTGATCTTCTCTGATGTCTCCAGACTCTGTCAGGCTGCTGAATGGTTCCAGTCTGTGTTCAGGCAGACTGGAGGTGAAGTCTGACCAGAGCTGGTCCTCAGTGTGTGAAACCGACTTTGACCAGCAGGATGCAGAGGTGGTCTGTAGGGAGCTCGGCTGTGGGCCTCCTTCGGTCCTCCAGGGGGCGCTCTATGAAGAAGTGGAGGCTCCAGTGTGGAGCAAAGAGTTCCAGTGTGGAGGCCAAGAGTCTGCTCTCCTGGACTGTAGAAGCTCAGGCTCAGCTAGAAACAGCTGCTCACCTGGCAAAGCTGTTGGACTCACCTGCTCAGGTAGAAGAGGAGCTGCAGCTTTGATGTGGTTCAAACTCACTTTATTCTTTTACTGATGACTCTCTGCATACTCCCAGCACATTTTATGTACATATTGGCAGTATACCTCTGCTGTCAGGTCCCTGCATCCACATGCTCATGTAATAAACCAGGGGATAGGTATGTTTAAATGTAGTATTGTAATGTATATGTATATTTTTATACATTATACACATAAATGATCATACCAATCATTTAATCCTTTGTAATCCACTGGATCAGGCACCATAAAAGGGACGAATGAATCTTTGGACATCATTGATCACCTCACTCTGGACAGACTAATGAAGCCTCGACACTGTGCTTCTGAAGCACTGTGTAGTTGTTTTAGCACATATGCCAGAGCTTCAGCACGGATTCCTTTAAGCCTGTTTGAATTGAAGAACTCTGTCATTTTAACTCGCCTACGCTCTCAAGCTGGTTACCTCATTTGTCACTCACCTGCCTGCCCAGAGACAAAGGCAGAAGGACAGAGACAGAGAGACAAGTCTGTAGACAGGTACAGTCAGTTTCTTGGACCTGCAGCTATTAAAGCTATTTATATAGGGTTAAAATGTCTAGTGGAGACGAGGCTAGAGTGACTAAATAAGCGGTTCCCAGTTTACCTTAATTGTTGGAGACTGGAGTAGGAGAAGGAGGAGAAAAGCAGAAGAAGGGAGAAGAAGTGAGGAAGAACGTCCTCCTCACACAAGAGGTGGATGAAATTGGACTCAGAGAGCAGGCTGACGGTTCTTTGCTCTCTCAGAGTGTTAAATAAGTAAACATAAAGGAGGTTAAATACAGTTTTAGTTTGGTCCTTTTCTTTAAATTTCCAGGTCGTGCTGCAGTGTTTCATCAATAAGGTTTAAAAACGTTTGTGTGGGGCAGAATTTAAGAACATTTATCTCAAACCTATACTGAACAGATTCTCAGGGAAAACAACTCGGCACTGTCAAAATAATGACTTATGTAACAACTCTGCTTTCTGTTCAGAGCCTGTCAGGTTGGTGGGCCAAGCCAGTCGCTGTGCAGGCATGCTGGAGGTGAAAGTGGGAAAGTGGAGAACAATCGATTATTTTGACTGGGATCTGAAGGAGGCACATGTCGTCTGTGAACATTTGGGCTGTGGCTCTGCATTTTCTATACAATGGAAAAATGAGCCCTCTGAGATTTCTGTGTTGAAAATTGAGCCTGATTGTGTTCACTCCGGATCTGCTCTGAGAGAATGTGCAAAATCATCTTCCTCTTTCCTAACCCTGAATGTCACCTGCAAAGGTAAGCAGAATCATCTATCACATATCCTTATCTTATCGACTTTGCAGGGTTTAGTTCTTGTTTGTCACGATCACTGCTCTTCTGAAATATGTTCATACTTTCTGGGAAATTTTATCAAATGCTTCATTCCATTTTTATTTCAGTTATTTATTATCTGCTTGACCAGTAAAGACACCTGAATTCCTGTATTTCCTTTTGCCTGTCTCATTTAACTTAACCATCTCAGACTTTTCTTAAATGGCAAAAAGAGTTACCGTCTGAACCCTAAAAGACAAAATCTGCTCAGTTAGCTGATAATGAAGTAGCAACACCAAAAAAGTATCTGGACATAATTAGTGGAATCATTTGTATAATTGTGACATGAAAACTTTGCAAACTAAAAGTTAACACATATTAATACCCAATGTCAAAAGAAAGCCATTTTACCTTGACTGTTGCATCTGTTGTAGACAATCAGTGTTCACCAGCAAACCAGTTACTAACTTAAAATGTAAGTTCATCTCCAAACTGGATGGAAATAAAACAGACAAGTCGGGATGAGAAAGGAGATAAAGAGCTGCTGTGACTAAAACAACCTGAAAACTGAAACAAATTGAATGAAGAACACAAACTGTCCACCAGACGGGAAAACTGGAGGTTAATGGTTCGAGAGAGGGCTCGAGGAGCAGACATATGCTCTGGTGTTTACAGTAAATGATTTTGGAGAGAGTGCACCCAGCTGAGATCCTGCTACATTTTTTTTACAGAAGGTAGATGTGACCTCACCTTGCATCATCTCAATGTTTACAGACCTGCTGGTTCAGCCAATCATCTCTGTGTCCTTCATGAATGGGGTCTCCATGGCCCAGCAGCAGGGGCTTCAGGTGTCCAGGGGCTCAAACTTCACCATCAGCTGCTCCATCCAGCCACAGTACCCGGGGGGCTCCTTCCAGCTCACCTTCACCTCATCCAACACGGCGTACAACTACACCCAGCCAGCTGTCAATCACTCCGCCCACTTCCTGTTTCCTGCTGCAGAGCCCACCCACCAAGGAAACTACAGTTGCATTTATCACGTCTATGTTTTTTACCATGACTTGTCCTCTGAGAGCCCCCTGCTATCTGTCACTGTGTCAGGTAAGTTGAAGCAGAGGCTGCTGGGTTTGTGTTCAGGGCAGCGTTAAATAACAGAGAGGTTCAGGTTATGAGTTATGGTACTACTACTTTGATGCATACACTGCAGTATTCTGAGATACATAGAAATATTAGCCATAAATATGCAGTAAGTATTTTTGTACTTTATCACATGACCACATGTGGTCTTTTTGAAGGTCTTTCACTGTTTTTCTTTGGACATTAGCTGCTTTATCACTCATTCTCAGTCCAGTCCTTGTACCTGACTGATCAACCAGTGTTGTGTCTACACATAACAGATAACTTGGCAGGAACTCAATTTTACATTGTTTTTTTAAATCACTATTGTGCTAGAAACTTGCCACCAAAGTGCAGCAATTTTGACATGTCTTAAGTTAAATCTATGAAAAATGCCAATTTCTTATATTTGCCTGTCCCGTTTGGTTCTTTAACCATCAGAATTGATGTCTGAAGGTCAACAAAGATACCCAACGGATTTATTTTATTTTATTTTCAGTTGTTACAGATGGGACAGACATGGCTGGGGAATAGGACAGGGAGAAAGAAAGATGAAGGAAAAACAGAGGAGAACAGGGAAAGTGAGAAAGGACACTTAAAAAGAAAAAAAACCTCCTGGATCACCTGTTGAGAGAAAAAAAAAGAAAACAAGAGAAAACAAGCAAAAAAGAGAGCAACATAATAAGCACAGCACCATCGCAATAATCATGCTAAGTGTAAATAACAGTAAATGCTAGTGATGTGTCGATCGCGAAACAGCTCTTAGAGCCGGATCTTTGAAGTGAACGACGTGTTTTTTTGTTTTGTTTTTTCTTTCTCTCACCCTCTCTCTCGCACTTTTTTTCGCTTCACAGGGGGGAGGGGCGGTAGTTACACTTGCAGTAGCACAGGAACAGAGCGGGAGGAAAAGAGAGAGAAAGAGAGCCAGGGACAACAACATCACATTAGAAAGGCATAGTAATCATCCACAACTGAAAATAGTTGTGGATGATTACTATAAAGGATTCAGAAAGTTTATTCATGCAGGTCCATATGACAGAGAATATACATCTTCTTTTTGTTTTGAATATTTTAATTGATGTTTAATTGTGCTGTGGTTTGCAGTGTTTTGTGTTGTTTCGCTTTAAATTTGTTTAAAAGGAAAAAGCTGGAAATTTAAATAGTTAAAAGTTGAAATGTGAATAGTTGGTTTTTGTATTTTATAATTTATTTATTACATTTTATGTTGAGTGAATAAATAAAAGTATATTTACGCTGGCCCCTAGAGACAAAGCACGTACAAACTCCAAATTGTGTAAAAACTCCAAAGCATGTACAAACAGGCCGGTTGGAAGCCAAAAGAGCCGGTTCACTAAAAATAGCCGGAATTCCCATCACTAGTCAATATTAAATATTGAATGTTGTTGTGCAGCACGCAGGTCCGACTGCGCACAATGTGCTTTGAGGTAGCAGCCAAGAAAGATGTTGTTTGTGTCTGTGAACAGTGAACACCCGTGTGCACACCTGTGTGGATCAGTGTGCTTGTATTAAAAAGGTTTTTCCATTTAACGATCTGTTAAATGGAGTGTGGGGAGCCAGAAACCCATCCACCAGGGCATGAAGCAGGCATGGAGGAGATCCAGGCCCCAGACATCCAGAGGCCTTGACTGAATGAATTATCTCTTTAATGATGCTTGTTGACTGTGAATGTGTCTTTATTAGATCCCACACACTCAGATGTTGTTAAAGGTGTTGTCATCACACTGGTAGTCCTGCTGGTCATTGTACTCATGATCCTTGGTCTTCATCTCTATCGTCAGGTACTGAGCACGTTTGTAGCTGAGAGTGCAGCTGCTCCTTTTTCATTTGAGGATAGGATAGAATTGCCGTAGAAAGCCTGATTGCTGTGCTGTGCTGTGTCTCCAGGTCAACAAACAGTAGAACAGCCAGCTGACTGACTGTAAACTCTGTGTTTGAGCCCCTGGAGGAAGGCCAGGAACAAGTTCAGCCAGCAGAGGAGGACCTCCAAGGAGCTCGAAAGCATGTTTGGACAGAGCATGGTCTTATTTCTACACCATCTGTTTTGTCCTCCATCCTCCTATCTGTGAGCCCGAAGTCCGGTCAAAACACAAGTTCAGCAGGGCTGTGCAGAGATGTTTGAAAGGGCAGGTGCTCAAAGTTTTTAAAAAAAAGGGGCACATAGAACCAGGCTGAATAACAACAACCCACATTCATCAAGAATCTAATATGGAATTGCGTCATACTATATCACTGTCATCAGGTGGGGACTACGCAAAGCAAACATAGCTTATATTTTACCTATATATTACAATGATGCTGTTGAGGGGTTACTGCTGCTCCTGCTGCTGATTGTGCTGGAGGGCAGGTTTGTGTTGATCTGAAACTGTAGACATCAAAAAGTCCATAGGAGAAATGGTAGCTGATTAAACAAGTGTTATTAGATGATAATAAAATGCAAAGATTGGTGACAGCACTTGGAATCATGAGGCAAGAGATTAATAAAACTGTGGGAAATAAACTACGGTCTGTCTGTGACTCACTCTGTGCAGCTCTTCCTCCTTCCATCTCCTCATCTCATTTATCACTCTCCACCAGTGTTGGTCAAGTTACTTGAAAAAAGTAATCAGTAACTAATTACTGATTACTTCCCCCCAAAAGTAATCCCGTTACTTTACTGATTACTTATTTTCAAAAGTAATTAATTACTTAGTTACTTAGTTACTTTTTAAAAACACGATTTACAACCTGAAGAGGTGATAAAGCGATAGATCTTTCAGCCCAATTCTACTTTTTCTGCATAATCCATCATACAAAATGTAATCAAATGGAAAAGTCCCTTTTTTTTAAACTTGTTTTATCAGTTTTAATCTTTTAACTTTATGCATCAAGCAAAACTTTAATTATATGCAACATTCTCTGACTGGAAGAAATTAGTTTAACATTTAAACCTATTTTCTGCACATTCCAGCACATAAAATAAAATATTTTTTGTGATTACACTCACTCTTTCAAATAGATGCAAGTAAAACACAGCAGAAAATAAATAAAGTCAAAGACTAGTGGTCCTTTTGCTCTATTTTCACCTGTAAAGCAGGAGTGGGGTATGCGGAGGTTTACCCTGGTGCAGGTGTGCGGCAGCGGTCAGTGGAAGAATCCGCGAGTTTCTCTGTGAATTTCCCATTACGTCGTTGCACACTCGGTGCTTGCTTGGAAGTTTAGGGGGTTTTTTCGCTGTAAAAAGAAGTTTTCTTCCCACGCACGATGGACACTAATGTTTTTGTCACTTTTTATGGAATCAAACTCAAAGTAAGGTCAGTACGTCCACGCTTTAAACGCTGCACGCTCATACTCTCTCCCACACTTCATATATGATCCATTGTTGATCTGCACACAGCTTTTGTCATTAACGTCGCACTTGCTTACGTCACTGTCATGAGACATTCTCGCAAAAAAATCACGGTTTTAGTAACGCAGTAACGCAGCGTTCCTACGGCAAAGTAACGGTAATCTAATTACCGATTTTGAAATAGTAATCCCTTACTTTACTCGTTACTTGAAAAAAGTAATCAGATTACAGTAACGCGTTACAAGTAACGCGTTACTGTCCATCTCTGCTCTCCACTTGCTGTCCATCTGAGAGCAAGGTGAAATTTGCTATTGGATTAATGTATTGTTTAATTATCCACACTTAAAAACTCTCACCAACGTTATATCATTAGTAATAAATTTAAAAAATCTATACTGTATATACTATGGCCACAAGTTTGCATCATGGTGCTGATCCAGAATCCTTCCTTTATTATATATTATAGTGCTATAATTATAAAATAATGATAATACAAAAATAAAGTAATAAATATAAAATGGGGCTAGGGATACGTATTTATGATTATTCAATTTGTTTGACTATCCATTCTGTGCAGGCAGAACGCTAATTAAATGTTTAACCCTTTAAAACCGGTCAGAGCGGCATGCTCCGTTTTGCGCAACTACTTTTAAATCCCTGTAGAACTGCAACCACATAAGCTAGTGCAATAATTTTTTTTGCATATGAAACCGGAGGAGTTGTACTTACATCTTATGCCATCAGCTTGTCCTAGGTCACAGTTTCCTTCCACATATAGCTTTGCAAAAACTGCATAAAAAGCACTTGCAGCAACAAAAACATAATATTCTAGAAACATGCTTTGCCGAGCCAATCAGTTGTTCGTAACACTTCTTAGGTTGGAATAGACATCACCACGAACTATCGCATGTCCGCCATGACCTGCCGGAAACCGGAAGTGACGTCATTTTCGCGAAAATGTAGTCTTTTACCATCAGGGCCTGATGAGCCTATACTGGTGTTTTTAAAAGTTGTGTTTGACTTTATGACTTTCTGTATCGTTTCTGGGATGCTTAGGACTCATATTGCACTGCTGGAAATAGTTTATTGTGATGCACATGCTGCTCTTTTGCAAATTTGCACTGTAATATTTGTTTTCGTTTTTCCTGCAGTATATAAAAATTGGTGTATTTCAAAAATAAAACTATGAAGACACTTAAAATAAATTTCCTATGGTGGGAAACTATTTTGTGCAACTTTTTTGTATTTGCAGTTTAGAGGGATAAGCCTCTTAAATTTCTCTAACTAGAAATATATGTTAAAAAAACAAAAACGATTTAAAATTTTTTTTGTAGTTTATTGCACTTTTTGCAATTTATGTAATTACTATGCCCTTAATGCATGCATATTATGAAAATTTGGGCTATAACAGTTGTATTGATGTATAGCAACTTGAAATGCTCCCAAAAATGGCACTACAGCATGTAAAAATATAATATAAGCTCTGGCGGACTTGGGGTAGGTCTTAAAGGGTTAAACTAGAGATAATTTTACTTCTGTAAAATCTGCATTTTGTCATATTTGATACATAAATATAATACAATCTGTCTTTTGATGTATTTTCTTTATGTGTGTGTTTTTTATAATCATCCATAATTATGTTGATATGCATATCAGATATTTTTCAGTGAAATATTAGTCCTCCAGAAGGGGGTGCTGCTCTTGTGGCGACCTGCAGCAGGTGTTTACTGGCGTTTTCTTTTTGTTTTTAACTTTGTTTTAATTCTGTTCCTAACTGTGGTTTTAACTTTTTATGAGGTTTTTGCCGAGATGGAGATCTTCTACACCTTATTTTTATTGTTGTTGGCGATATTCACCTGGAGTCAGTCACTCTTTTTTTTTTCTTTTTTTCCTCAAACTTTATTTGAAATTATAAAGCAAACAGTCAGTCATTCCAGTTCAGTTTGTACAGTAGACATACAAGGCAAATAAGAGTAACAATATACAGTACAATGAAATAAGAAGGATAAATAAATAAAGGGGAAAAAAGGGGGGATTGTGACAGACTTCATAACAACTTTGTACTTGAAAGTGGTGACAGCTCATATGTGTCTATTTTGTGTGCGTGTGCGGGCCAGACGTGGTCTGCGTGAGTGAGTCTGATTGTCATTTTGTATGCAGTCGCTTTTAAGCTGATGAGCAAGCTACACATGTTCAGAGCAGGACCTGGTTGACCTTATCAGAGGGGAGGGAAACAGAGCTATGATATCTCAAGCATGCAGCTATCCATGAGTTTAGTTTCTTCCTGGCACCCCATATGGGCAACAGCTTTTCTGCATCCTGATTCATGTGTGTGAGACTTTTGTAACATCAGCATCATGTTTTTGTTTTGTCGAAAAGCAGGTGATTGTGTCTGACGTCATGGTGTGTGTGAGTTACAGAGAGGTGTGAAAGTATGTGAGTGAAGTGGTCTCGAACTGGGGAAGACATGATTCTGCAGGTCACCTGCCCAGTGGACACAAAAAAGAAAAAAATAGTTGTGTGGATGAAATATGAATGATAACATGGCAAGTGTTTGGTGTTTCTCAGCCTGAAACAACTGTAATGCCACTTTCTGTTTTTAAGAAAGGAGAGTTCCAAAAAAAAAACAGAGAGAGAGAGATGTGTGTTGTTTAAGCAGTGAGGAGAACAATGAAAATGTCTTAGTTTGTCACTTTCAGGTGAAAAGCAGACCTGGATCAATTTTCCACATGCAGCAGTTGGAAGAAAGTTATAGGTTTCACATCATTAGGAAACACTGAGGCAGAGCTTTTGGCTGAGTGGTGTTTACAGCTTAACTCCCATGTGTTCCTCACCCTGAAAAAACAAGCTCCATGGAAGCTAACCTCTGCCTGAAGACAAGGAGTGCAGTTCCAGAAGCACAGCACATCTACAATTCATAGCAGCCCAAGAGACAACAACAGAGTCCTGAGAGAGGTCCAGCAGCAGTGTGTACAAACGGCATCAGAGAGTAAGAAAACCCCATCATCATGGATGGATGGAGATGCGTTTCCAGCAAGCTGCAACTTCACTGTGTGTGAAGATGACTTTTGAGGAGACTGTCTGAGTGACATTGGCCACTTTTGGAGTGGAATGGCAAGATGAGACAGTGAGGATGACACAGGACAAAGCTGAAGAGAACTGTTTGCCATTGGACTGCAAAGAGTGAGAGGAGCAGGTGAGAACACAGAGGAAGGCTGTCGTTTAGTGTGGGAAATCAAAATTTGGGTTAGCAATCCTGGGAAAAAAGGAAACTGATTTAAGTGGGAAAATTGTGAAGGAGTTTGGACCACAAAATGAGAAAGGTATATAAATCACACACAAGCAGAAAATGCATTAACCATACTAACCCTACATGCATATACACATACAATGACACTCATGAAGACCAGACAGCATCTTAAGTATGAGATTCTGTTTGTCATCTTGTCCAAGTCACTCAGTAAGATGGAAGTGATACGTAGACTAGTGGATTAAATATTATAGGAGGACAGATGATTGCATCATAGGGAGAAAACAGAATGCTGATGAGGAGTTTTGCATGATTGTTGAGTTTCTGGTGGGTGAATAAGTTTTAACATAGCACACATTTGGTTACATGAGAACAGAGATGGGCAGTAACACGTTACTTGTAACAAGTAACGCATTACTTGTAACGCGTTACTGTAATCTGATTACTTTTTTACAGTAATGAGTAAAGTAAGGGATTACTATTGCAAAAACGGTAATTAGATTACAGTTACTTTCCTGTAGGAACGCTGCGTTACTGCGTTACTAAAACCGTGATTTTTTTTTGCGAGAATGTCTCATGACAGTGACCTAAGCGAGTGTGACTTTTGTGACAACAGCTGTGTGCAGATCAACAATGGATCCTATATCGAGTGCAAGAGAGAGTATGAGCATGCAGCGTTTAAAGCGTGGAAGTACTGACCTTACTTTAAATTTGATTCCATAAAAAGTGACAAAAACATTAGTGTCCGTTATGTGTGGGAAGAAAACTTCTTTTTACAGCGAAAAACCCCTAAACTTCCGAGCAAGCACCGAGTAGCTACGACGTAATGGGAAACTC